AATATTTAATTATATAAATATTTTTTAATATTTGATTTATTTACTTATTAATAAAACTTAAAAGGAAAAATAAAAATTTTCTAATTTGTTAAAATATAATATTTAATATCGGTAATTATCAAATTGAAATTATTTATTTCATTATCTAAATTTTGTTCAATTTCGTAAAATATTTAATTATATAAATATTTTTAATATTTGATTTATTAAATTATTAATAAAATTTAAAACAAAATATAAGAATTTTCTAATTTTTTAAAACTAAAAAAAAAATAGTTAATTAACAGCGGACCGCTGTTAATAGCGGTTCCACACGATTTTGCTGGAAAAGAAGCCAGAAAACTCAATTTTCGGCCATTCAAGCTTCATCAATCACTTATTCAACATTTTATTTCTCCCCTATCACTATTATTCTACCCGATATACAACAAAATCAAACAAAAAAAACTGAAATTATTTCAAAAAAATTCGAAAAAATCACAACAATATTTCAAAACTAACCTATCTTGTCGATTTGTCGGTGTGTGGAGGTCCCTTTTTTGCTCTTTTTTGGTCGATTTTTTTCCCTTTTTTGATCAATTTTTTTTTTGGCTTCGCTTATGGTGGAGAGGATTTGGTCGGTTTCTTTGGAATGGTGGAGGAGGTTTCACGTGTAACAAGGGTATTTTTGCCTTTTTCGGTATTTAAAATTAGCTTTGAATTTTTTTTTTTTTTTTTAATGCTATTTCTTGGTCAAAGGCCAAACTTGAATATTGGCCTTTTTTACCGGCTATACACGGGCATTTCCTCGTCCATACGTCTTCGGCGTTCACTCCCACTGATCTCTCTCCCTTCATTTTCTCTCAAATCTCCAAGACTCCAACGGTGAACTTTGCGGTCGTTGCCGTCGGACATCACACTCCAGTTGTAGAGTAAGTACAATGTATATTTCCTTATTTTCTATTTGTATTTTCTTTGTTCCTTATTTTCCTTGATTTTTTCCCTTTACTTTTCAATATGCTTGAAAGTCCTTTATTGATGTATTTTGCCAAAAGGTACTGAACCGTTTCTACGTATCCACTATATTTCTGTTTCCGTGCACCATAGCAGGATTGATTTTCTGAAATTTTTCCAGAAGATTGAAGATAGCCCATCTATTATTCCCTAAAAGAATTTATGAATGGTGATGCATAGATTGATAATGGTGGGTTTTTTTCGAATTATTATATGAAATTTAGACATTTAAGAATTTTTCAGTTTTGTTTATCTTAAGTACAAATAGATTAATATTGGTAAATCTATAGTTTAGTGGGTATAATCTTATTTTAATTTTATTGTTAATTTAAGAAGTTTTGTCCGATAGAAAAATAATACTTGACACGATATTAAGCAACCTGTTTAATCTGCTTATTGAGTTGTGTTTGTTTAAGAGATATAATTGACTTTTACTAAGGGCCAGAAGGCCATTCAGACCATGTTCCAAAACTTTCAATAGTGATTTTGTTTTTCTAACTTTAGAAATTGCAGAAAAGAGAATAAAACGAGAAAGGGATTTGTCTTTGATTGTGGAGAATGGTGACTAGTAAATGAATGATGGTGGTGTACATGGAGAAAGATTTTTGAAAAAATTGAGAATGAAGCAATATTGCAACGTTTTCAAAGCATGAGATCTCGTCGAATACAGTTGTCTAAGATTACAGTTACATAATAGGCTGTGTTGCTTATTTCTTTTATACTTTTTGTTGTATTGAAC